CCCCCCCCCCCAAAATTAGAAAATACCACCTGTTTTTTGCAACTTAAACTTTGTGGGGGTTTTAAAAAATTTTTTTGGTACTGGGGATCAAACTCGGGACCTTGTGCTTGCAAGGCAGGCAGCAGAACTGCTGAACTAAATCCCCGGCCCTAAACTTTGTGTTTTGCAGTACTAGGGATTGAACCCAGGCCCTTGAGAGTGCAAAGCATGCACTGTCCCACTGAGATATGCTTACAGCTCCAATATTTTGATTTCTTGCAAAAGTGCAAATGCCTTTGAAATGGTAGCATGATGTATTATTAAGTTAATATGATTTAATTACAGATCCTTTCTGGGTTTTGATCAAGGAGTAGAAAGTTTATTTTTTAAAGAGCAGATTGAAAGAGGGAAGGGAGAGACTGGAAAGGTTGTCTTTGCTTCCAGTCTGCCCTAAGAATATTAACACATTACTTGTATAAAACAGTGTACTATTATAAGCCTTTTATATTTAGCTTTGTTGCACTCTGCATATATTTGTGTATATCCATGCATACGTACCAAGGCATGTACACTCCTATAGGGAGTCTTTAGTTTTTACTTTTACTTTTTTTTTTTTTGAGACAGGGTCTCACTGTGTAATTCAGGCTTGCTTTGAACTCACTGTGTATCCTAGGCAGGGCTAGAACTTGGGGCGATCCTCCTGCCTCAGCCTCTTAAGCGCTGGGATTACAGGCATGCACCACCATGCCCAGCTGAGTTTTTAGTTTTTTTTGTTTGTTTGTTTGTTTTGTGAGGCAGGCGTGGCACCACTGAGCTAAATCCCCAGCCCCCCCCTTTTTTTTGGTACCTGAGATCAAACTCATGACCTTGTGCTTGTGAGGCAGGCAGTGGCACCGCTGAGCTAAATCTCCAGCCCTTTAGTTTTTAAATTTTATAAAAGAGAAGCTACTTTATTTATTTATTTTTTTTGAGAAGCTACTTTAGTTTACCAGCTTCTTTTTTTTGCTTTTTTCCCTGCGATGGCACCTCACTAAGCCCCAGCTGGCCTTGAACTAGCTGTCCTGCCTCAGCTTTGCAAGTGCTAGGATTATGGCCATGTGCCGCCACACCTAGCTACCAAGTATTTTTATTTATTTATTTATTTTTTGGTACCAGGGATCAAACTCAGGACCTTGCACTTGCAAGGCAGGCAGTGGCACCACTGAGCTAAATCCCCGGCCCTGCTACCAGGTACTTTTAAAGGACTTAAACAAGCAGCATTCGGGCTGGGGATTTGGCTCAGTGGTTTTGCCGCCTGCTGCGCAAGCGCAAGAACCCGAGTTCGATCCCCGGTACCAAAAAAAAAAAAAAAAAAAAAAGAGCAGCATTCACCTGAATGGTGGTGCATGCCTCTAGTCACAGCTACTCAGGAGGATCTGAGATAGGAGGATCGCTGAAACTCATGAGTTCAAGTCCAGCCTGGCAACATACCAAGACTTTGTCTCAATTAAAAAAAAAAAAAAGTATCATAAGAAAGGTACATTGTGTCATTGTTCTTTAGAATAAAAATATGAAAACAGGGACTGGGAATTTAGCTCAGTGGCACCCTGGCTTGAAAACAAATGAGCATAATATACCTTAAATACAAAGATGATTACTTGGGACTTTTAAAAAAAATCATTCAGTTCCAAACAAGGTACCAAATTTAAAGTAAAGTGGTTTTTTTGTTGTTTTTTTTTTGGTGCTGGGGATCGAACTCAGATCCTTCTGCTTGCTCAGCAGGCAGTGAAACCACTGAGCTAAATCCCTGGCAAAAGTAAAGTTAATAGAGAAGGAGGGCCGGGAATTTAGCTCAGTGGTTCCGCTGCCTGCCTCGAAAGCGCAAGGTCCTGAGTTTGATCCTTGGTACCAAAAAACAAACAAAAAATTAATAGAAAAGGAAAAGTATTTTAACTTTTTTTGACCTTTCAGCTGGGATAGTCCAGAAGAGGTGTGAATTCATTAAAATTTTAATTAATTTTCATTATAAATGATTATTAACTTTCACTTATCAAGAGGAGTCCTCAAAATGATGTTAAATACGTTTTTTGTTTGTTGTTTTTTTTTGTTTTTGGTACCCGAGATTGAACACCAGACCTTGCGCTTGCGAGGAAGGTGACAAAATACGTTTTTCATACACTTAACACCAGTGGTTCATGTCTTAATATTTTAATTTAAAGTTCAAGCCAATATTGGAGTAAATGCTTTTAACCTTTAGTTTGGGTTATCCTGAACTTTCATATGTAGATTATGTATCTCGGGAAATTAAAGCATTAATACGTACTTTATAGACTTTTGAACTTAAAAATTTTTAATTTGACCTTACCATATTATATAGAGCAAGGCCTCAGATCATTTTGGATAAAACTCCATGTTTTGAACTTGACTTTTATTTTATCATAGAAAAATTCTGCTTAAATTTTTTCATGTTTATTTTATTTCTTTAGAGAAGAAAGAATGAATATGAAGGTTCCCAGAGATATGGATGATGCCAAGGCGCTAGGAAAAGTTTTATCCAAATATAAGGACACCTTTTATGTACAAGTACTTGTAGCTTATTTTGCTACATATATTTTGTATCCTTTTAATGAAGAATGTCTAATTTTGTTTAAGAAAAGGTTTAAAAGGTCTGCTGTTACACATAACTGGTTTTTATTTTAAAATATATTAATGTAGTGTACAATATGAAATAAAATAATGAAAAATTAAAATGGCAAAAATTTTAACTCTAATCCTGTCTCCTCAACTTAGTTGTTTTTTGGGTTCTTTTGGTACTGGGGATCAAACTCAGGACATTGTGCTTGTGAGGCAGGCACAGTGCCACTGAGCTGAGCTAAATCCCCGCCCCTGTGTTTTTTGGGTTTTTTTTGTGGCAGGGATTGAATTTAGGACCTTGCGCTTGGCTTGTGAGGCAGGTGCTGGAACCACTGAGCTAAATCCCTAGCCCTGTTTCCCCAGCCCTATTTTTATTTCTGAATATCTTACCAGTTTTTTTGGATATTGTGCTTATTTCATTTATCAGATATTTTCCTTTCCTCTATAATTTAGGATATTTATCTATTTTTAAAAATTGCTACTTATATTATTAATTAACAAATTTGAATCACTAGTTATCTCTTTGTTT